GCTCTGAACTAGTCCGTGGTGGCTACTGTAAGAGTACTGTAGAATTACTGTGATAGGAGTGTGATTTTGTTCAGGAACCGTCTATCAGACCAAATCGCTGTGTTGTCCATCGAAGAATTTTGTTTGCTCTCAACCACGAGATGTTGGTGTCCGATGTTCGAGTACACGGATCACTCGATGGTATTTCAACGCCGATTCGAAAAGCTGTCAAACATTCGAGTACAATGGTTGTGAAGGTGAGCAGATTATGAACATTGTGGATCTTGTATGCTTTTCAGCTTGGTTGCGGATTGCGCCGCGCCTCTGCCATATACAAGGCAACGGGCATAGGCAACGGGCACGATGGCTGGGGCGAGCGGTTACTGTCAGCGTCATTGGTGGGAGGGCTGCAAGAGGGTATTTGGCAACACCTAACTCAGCTCTTCACCAATGAAGTTAGCAGTAATTGCTCCCCCCCCTCCGCCCCAGCCATCATGCCAACTGCCTCCAAAGAGGAAGCCTGGTGGGATCACCTGGAGAATCGAGCCATCAACAGGCAACAATTGTAGGCTTCTGCTATGGGATGGCTTGAGATTCCTAATGATCATGCGCTCCCTGGTAGCCCCTGGAGGGTGTAGGTCATGAGATTAGAGTTCCGCCGACATATAGAAATCAGCGGCACGCGGCATTTCTCTAGCTAGTTGGCCAGGATCACTGTAGCATCTTCGCCTTGAATCAGCAAAGTCCTGGTGCGAATGCCGCGCGAAAAACGCTGCATATGACTCTGCTTTGGTCGCTCCACTACAGTTCCATCCACTGGTGGGCATACTGCGAATGATGGAGCGAGTCAGGGGGTGGATTTGGCCAGGTGCCAGCACATTTTCCACCAACTGTTGTCGCGCGCATCTCTTTAGTAAATCTTCTGAATTTATAAATATTCGAAACTTTATTTACAGGCAACAGAAACAACTTTGCGTCACAGAAATCCTGCCAAAACTACTGCCTTTCCGAAGCTTGTCCTCCTGGAACGGTGGTTGCTAAAGATGGAGAAGGAAGCCGTTTGGTTCAATGTAGCAATCCTGGTAAGCGCTTTCGTTTTCTGTTCAGCGCCAACTTGTAGGCATCTAGTACTAAGTTTTCTTTTTTTCTTCAAAAAGTGCTTAGTAAAATTTCTTCAGGTGGCCAAGGTCGTGTTTCTGGTGGATGTCCTGATGGGTATACGTGCTACTCGTCTCCATTACTGGACCAGAGTGTATGTTGTGGAGCCAGTACTGAGCTTCAATGTGAGTGAGGGGAATGGGGGTTGTACTTCGTTGGGAGCAACAGTTCGAATTTCTGACGGAGGACTGATATAAGAATGACGGGGCCGAATACTTAACATTTCACTTTGACTAGAAATGATACATTCATGTCATTTAGTTATAGGTTTTCTACAGTTTCTTCACTGCGGATGCTGAAGCGTTTCGACGGGAGGGAGGGGAGGGGGTGGGTTCAGCGGATTTAGCGCGACGCCTACCCCTTCTCCACCAACTGTTGAAGCGAGCAAACGACGACAGTTCTTGATTTGATGGGAGAACTGTGTACAGCGCTGCCACACATACCTATCCTCCCACAACCACGCCAGCATCCGCAGCGAATAAAACTGAAATTACTTTTATGGTCAGCCCTCACGTTTGAAGGAGGGTCAGTTCTGCTCCAAGTTTCGATCGTCAGCCTATTCATTTCAGCACTTTGCCCCACTGCTATTCGGACTCCTTATCTCGGCGCCTATCTCTCAACCGATGCAGTGTACACCAAATGTGGATGGAGCCTGTCCGGGCAACTTCTTCTGCTGGTTCTCCACCACTGCCACATCAGTCAACGCTTTCTACTGCTGTCGTTCACCGGATAGCGTAGATACCGGATGTGAGTCAAGAATAGACCAGATCACTTTAGAATGGTCCTTGGACCGAGGCTAAAGGGACTTTCCACGCTGGTCGTGTGGGCGGAGCCAGCCGAATCACTGCGCCGTTCTGATCGGCGGGCTCCTCCTTTTAAATTGACAAAGGACAAGGGCGCAATTGTCCAAGTGACCACGCCCATACGATCAGTGTGGAATGTGCCTTTAGCTTGATGTGCACCAGATGGTGCGCGATCCCCGAATTTTTTTATATTGACCAGTTTTTCAAGCGAGTTTTTGTCATAAGCAGTAGCAATACCTTCTGAATCCAGACTGCCCACCTCAACTAGTGCCTGTACCCGGAGAGGGAGGTGCTCAGTACAAGTACTGTTCACCTTCTGCGCCACTCAACGATGCCATTCAAGGATGTGGAGCCAACAGGCATTGTCAATTCAGTACAACTCTCGAGAGGTACGGTACTTATCAGGGTTTATGAGAACCTGAATAACTTTCCGATTTCAGGTATATTTGCTGCGGTCTGGAATCAGATGTTCGATTGCCTAATGTATGTCCACCTCAGCCAGCTAACCTTGTTCCGGTTGAGCTAGCTGGAAACTACCGTACCTGCAATCCGTGAGTGATTTATGGGGTTTTCACTGGTTTGAGCGCCGTTAGAGGTCGCAGACGCGAGCGGTTGCGATGCGGCTCCTTAGACTCGTCACACCCTGTGGAGCAGTCCTGCATGTCAAAGAGAAGAGGTGACATCAACG